TGCTTTAGTGATTATATACAGTAGAACTGTTAAATATGTTGGAGCTGTGGCTTAGCTGCCCAGTGTGCCTTAATGCATCCTAATTTCAAGTCATATCAGAGCATTTCCACTTATGATTAGATAGTGTCAAAGATGACGTATAAGAACATCCAATCTAATCCTTCATACATCATCTTAGCATCTCAATTCGAACGATCAAGGCCAGAGTAGGTCACAACAAAGCAGATAAGACACCTCTAGCCGTCTCCTATATTCTCAATGCATATCTTCTTATCGGAGGTTTAGAGAACCCCTGCTCAGTAGAACTGTTAAATATGTTGGAGCTGTGGCTTAGCTGCCCAGTGTGCCTTAATGCATCCTAATTTCAAAAGTAAAAGTCATATCAGAGCATTTCCACTTATGATTAGATAGTGTCAAAGATGACGTATAAGAAAATCCAATCTAATCCTTCATACATCATCTTAGCATCTCAATTTGAATGATCAAGGCAAGAAGTAGGTCACAACAAAGCAGATAAGACACCTCTAGCCGTCTCCTATATTCTCAATGCATATCTTCTTATCGGAGGTTTAGAGAACCCCTGCTTCTTTCTTCAGACTTCTTATTCAGTCTGCATCTTGTTGTTGTCCCCAAACATGAATCTCCAATGGGACCAGGCCTCGCAGCTATGCCTCAGCCTATCAAAACAAATAGGCCTCAGAGGCTGACAAGGGGGAGTAATGGAGAGAGTTTAGAGGCTAGAGAGAGAGGAGGTTTAGGGCATTAGGGGGTCTTTGATGGGGTGGGAGGAGTAGATCATGCTGGTTCCTCGTTAACTCTTTGGCACTCTTTGGGGACTTTGACTGACAGCTATCATGATGCTGGTCATATAGGAAAGTCACCACTGCTGTACAACGTATAATTAGTATTATTTTAAAAACATTGGAATTGTAATTTAATGATTAATATTTGTACTACTATATGACAATTATTCAAGACTCTTGCAGTTCTTTGTTCAGGGGTAAACAGAAGAAACACCTGAGCAGTGGTATTCTGTTGGTGAACATCACGAAGCCACCCATGCTACTGGGAGCAATGTTTAGATGAGTGAAGAAATTAACCTCAAAACATTTTCACATCCATGAACATGGAGCCCCAGAGTTCTCCCAACAATTATATGATCATCACGAATCAATAGCATTTCAAAGGCGTTTAACAGCCGGTGCAAAGCTTTCTGGAAAGCTTTCGATGACAAGCCATTTCGAACCACCATAATGAACCCCAAAGCTCCTTAGTTTTGGCCAGATTTCTTTCTGAAATGACGTCATGTCTGTTCCTTGATTTCGTGAGTATATGTTTTGATTGACTTGAAACTGAAAAAATGACTTCTTTAGTGTTTATAATTTATATAGTTTATATAGTCTATAATTAATAAGAGGATAATAAGAGGATCTTATGGTGAAGATGACCATTCACCCCAAAATTTGGTCATTTACTTGTACACGTTGTTCCAAATTGTCTTCGAGAATCAAGTTATAAAAAGCATGAATGAGATCTGAGAGCTATAGCAGATTTGCACTTAATAATGACTTTATTTACTTTAATAATGACTATGACCTTATCTTAACTAACGGCTGGTGCAAAGCTTTGCATAACAAACTTTTTGGTCAGATTTATTATTTTTTTTCTTTAAAATGACATTACACTCATTTATTCTTTAATTCCATAATTTGAGGGGTTTATCTGTTAAAGTTAAAAAATGTAAACATTAAAAAAACAAACAAACATTGCTTACCCTTTTCATTTAAAAAAGGAAAATTCACCCAAATATTCTGTCATCATTTGCTCACCCTCATGTTATTCCAAATGGTCTTCAAGCACCAACTTTTAAACAAGCATGCAATACAAACATGCATGAATGAGAAGAGAACTGAGATCTATAGCAGATTTTCACCAAATGTTGACTTCAATTTTGAGCTGCTTATGAAACAAAGCATATGGTTTTGGTCATATGGTTTTTATCTTGTGCACTTATCATATTTTAATATAATGCATGACTGATGTGGACAAGTTTTTCTTTTCTCCTCCATTTTAAGAGCTTTAGCAGCCCAAGGTAACTGATGCATTGTGTGGAAAAGCAACGTGATCTCATGATAATTCGTATGTATTTTGCGTAAAATGTGGTTCTATAAAACGTACATTTACTTACGTTTTTACAGGCACTAAAATGTACAATACTGACGTATTTTCAGCCTCTAAACGTACGAAACTGACGTATTTTCAGCATTTTAACGTACAAAACGGACGTATTGACGACACCTAAAAATGAATCCTTATGAATATTGAAATCGCGGCATTAATTTTATTAGTTTTTAGTTGTCACATTAATTAACTTGTTTTCAATTGCTTTATTAAATTGTTTACTTATGAAATTATAACATTTCGTGTTGTGTACATGGAGGTCAAGAGGACAAGATGAATGTACAGGAGAAACAGTGCCATATCATGGTGGCCATGTTTCGCGGGACCTCACTCCATTGGAGCAGAGGGAGATCTTATCGTAACTCAAGTGCACAGCTTTGTTTGCCAGACAAAGAAATGGAAAGAAAACCGTCTTGGAGGCATGGCAACATTTTTTTCACGTACACTAAAAAAAAAAAAATTTAACTGGTTTTATTCAAATATAAAATATTATTTAATGTTGTTGAATCAACCCAAATATGTAAATGTATACCAACAACAACAAAAAAATGTATGGGTTAAATCAGGTATGAATAGCCTTTTAATTGCAGGTTACCAAATTTTTAGTGTAGAGGTGAAGGGTAAAGTCAGTACAAAAAAAACGAAAGGTCTCAAAGCAATCCTCTTTAACCAGTTATTAAAATGAAAAGGTTGTCACATTATATATTACTATGAGACAGACATATCATGGCAGAGCCGCTCATCTGTCAGATCATATTCACACGTGCTCCTAAACTGCCTCATAGCGACTGTAAACTATTGACAAATACTCCAGTTGCAAGCAACAATGAAAAACTTTTTTTTTTATTATAATTTTATATTGCACAGTCCTTTTTTACCTCATATAGTGACGAGATATATTTATTTAAATAATAACCCCTGGTGCATAATAAGAAATACACTGTCTTAAATAGCCTACATCATATAAAACAACAACGCAACTTTGTTTTCTTGTAAAACATTTTTACAATGGCTTCAGATACCTGTTTTTGACAAACACTGTTCTGAAATGATTTATCAATGTATTATTACAACGATCGTTAATAATATAACATATCAATAAATATTACGTTTTTTTAAATTATGACATGCATGGGTGTTTAACTCGATTGTGCGATAACAAATCATAACTCAAATAATATCATAATTCAGTGTTATCGAATAAACTGAACACCAAAAGAGTCACAGACTTTCAAATGATTAATCTAATTGACAACCTCCAATACTTGATCAGGTCACACTACAATGTATATTCTGCTTGAATGAATTATCTGCTGTGCAAAGTGAAGCACTCAGTAATGCCTATTGCCCGCTGGGTGTTTGTGTAGGATCTCTTGCAATCCTAAACGATGCCCCCATCGTCTTAGATGAACTAATTAGCAACGAGCCTAATTTGCATTGCACAGACAAAGTTCAACATCAAAACAAATAGAAGAGTAAGTGATTTCATCATTCTGTTTTCGTGATTACCCTCACATTAAACAATTTTACACAATTAAAATGCAACATAAAATGCATTCCTAAGAGCTTATTATCGTTGAGATTTGGACACGGATTTTAGTCTTCGAAAAGGCATTTTTTCTGGCTTACATTTTTAAACTGTACACTCTAAAAAATGCTGGGTTAGATACAGCCCAGTGCTGGGTAAAATAGGGACAAACCCAGCAATTGGGTTGTTTTGACCCAGAGGTTGGGTTAAATGTTTAACCCAACCTTCTGGGTAGTAACCCAACCGCTGGGTCAAAACAACTCAATTGCTGGGTTTGTCCCTATTTTACCCAGCACTGGGTTGTATTTAACCCAGCATTTTTTAGAGTGTAACATTGGCAGTATAATTTTTTTTTAAAGAACTGCTATAAATCAAATCGACATTTTATACCTGCAAATTAGGCTGGCACCACTTATGAACTGCTAAGAAATGATTGCTTTAAATTAGGCTACAATTTCAACCAACTTGCACTTGTCCTTCATAGAAACATATATAGGCTAGGCTATAAAAGTCCAGTGAACCAAACAATTTGTTCCGTCCCTTTGAGAAAATGTAGTTGGATTTATAAGACTCGCATTTTCCATTGGACATCAAGGACATCAAAACTAAGTAAGGTGGAAAGTGAAGAGCAGCACCCCTATCGAGCAGATGTGTTTGCTCAAGCTGGAATCCAATCAGAGGCTCGGAGCACAGGAGGCACCTCCTCTCTTAAACATCGTCACGAGTGAACAGAGAACTTTCATTCCTAATAGTTCTCCAAGTCCTGCAACCACATAACCGCTGGATCCTGCGGACACCAACTTATGGCAAAGCACCAATAGGTCAGTGGAGACGTTTTTTCTTCTCACATATATAAATGTCTTCTCCTGCTTTTGTCAAACTTGTTATGGTGAGCACCGACTCGATGAGCTACTTAACCACTCAATTTCCTGCCGATTTATTTCAAACAATAGCCAGAGGTTATCTGGGAACATCTTCACAGGTCTACTCCCATAATAAACGCTATTTGTATTGGCGAGACAAGTTTGCATGCATTGAACATGAATTGTTTAGGCTACAAAAAGAGAGTGCGCATGCATATATGTTATTGTAAAATTTTTACAAATATGTTTGTGCAATCGAAGCCCCTTTTATTTTATTGTTTATGATTATGAAATTTACTTTGCATTAAACATCAAGTAAAAAAAATGGATTAAAATAAAATGCATTTAAACTTAGATTAATTGAACATTAATTTAATCAGCCAGAAATGAACAGCCCACATCTATTTAATTCTACCACTTTGGATTCATAAATCTAAGAGACTTTAGCTTCATCATTATCAATTAATGACAATGCTAATTGCTTTGGCCTCCAGTCGTCTTCAAGGCGGATTGGCCTGTCATGCGCGAACTGCCAGACCAGCACTACAACATTGTGGCGCAGAAACGCAGACGGAGAACCCGTGTGCAACGCGTGTGGACTTTACACAAAGTTACACGGGGTAGGCTATATTAGATGTCGCATGAAAACAAGATTTGATACAATTGAAAAATATATATATACAATTCAAATAAACAGGGGAAAGCCACAGGTGTCATTACAGTATTTTAAAATCTGATTTCATGTTTTTAGGTGCCCAGACCCCTTGCCATGAAGAAAGAAGGTATTCAGACAAGGAAAAGAAAACCAAAAACCTTGAACAAAACAAAGGGATCATCTGGTATGTTAAATAATAATAATAATAATAATAATAATAATAATAATAATGAAACAAAAACTAAATCAGACGAGTTCCAATCTTTAATGAATAATCCCACCAAGGTTAATTGTGAGTTAAGTGTGTGAGAACTAACTGGTTAAAATTATTCACAGGAAGTAGTTCTGTCCCCATGACTCCAACTTCTTCATCGTCTTCTAATTCAGAGGAGTGCACAAAGAACAGTCCTTCATCAACGCAGGTGCCTGTAACGTCAGTAAGTTTATACCCTTACTTTGTTTGCTGCATTTGTGTAGCAAATGTTCAGCATTACAATGAGTCAACAATGTACCAAACCTTACAGCTAAAAAGTTGCTAGTGCTTGATAAACAATTTTTCTGCATTACTCATCAAACTTGCAACACTTTGTGCTTTTAAGGCATCATACCAATAGACCATTTCATGACAACGACTGGTTTGCTTTTGATTTGTCATGCTCACATTCTCTGGTTTGATCCAGCTCAACTCGTCAACGCTGGTGGGCCAAGTCGATGTTCCAGGCACGACGGGATCCATGGTGAAATATCACGGCCAGGAGAGTCTGTACACGAATGTAGGCCTGACGTCCACAGCTGACGTGGCAACCTCCGTTAGAGGGGACACTTGGTGCCCCATGGCCTTGGCTTAAACCCTGGCATTATGGGATGGGAGCCATTTGCTGTCCTTCAGCTCTCTAGAACGTCCCTTAAAATCTGGCAGGGTGTGGGGTGTCATCTGTTTTTGGTCTGCGTTAGTGATCTTGAGCAGAGGCTTGATCTGTTCCAAATACTCCCGTTTTTGTTTGACCCGTGGAATACTGGACATCCACGATGGAGATTACCTTTGCTGCTCTGCACTAGAGGACGACACTTGAGAGCGTCTGCTTTAACACTACTTTCAGAGCACACCCTGCACCATGAATGTTGCTCGGAGTGGATCAAAAATGCTTTTTTTGAAAGTAGAGTTGTACATATCAATGCTAACGGATACTTTGCCCATCTGGAAAGACGAGGTTGTTGATTGGATTGTGGTGATCTGAAGAGAAAAACGGTTGATCTGTCTGAAACTGGAATTGAAGATAAAGTGTCAAGGTGTTCTTATCGAAGAATGCAAACATATTTATGAAGCTACGGTTGTTCAAATAATGCCTATATTTGTCAATAAAGATAATGTCAAATAGAGTAGGACTGAAGCCTTGCCCTTCCTTTGATATCTTTTGTGCATGATGTTGTTGCAGTGGATGTTGCTCACTAATCTGCACACCTTCTATGTGAAATTGAAAAGAAAACGAGAAGAAGAAAAAAAAGCTCTTAGAAGGCTGAACTGTTTTGTGATGGTTTAACACAGGGTATCAAAGTTCACAGGAACTCACACGAGACTTGTAGTGTTTTGTTCGATTACGCATTTGACTACAGATCACTATTATATGAAAATGGTCTAATCAAAATTCATAGTAAAGGAAATCAGTTTGTTTTTCGAACATACGTGGAGAAATCCAACTGGGGTAAATCATCAGCGAAGCATAAAGCATAAATAAAATTACCTTTATATCTCTGTTAGAACAAACGGCGCTCAGGATTTCTTTTCTGATGCATTTTTTTTGTTACAATACAAAACTGCAAAAGAGTTTTGCTGCAATGATTTCGGATGTAATACTACCTAACGTATGACACTGATGTGTGAATATCAGTGCATATCGCTGTTTATTTGTTTTTTTACTTTCAGCGTGAGACACTTCTATGGTCACTACTTTAGCTGATGAAGGAACAATGTTAAATCTGCATCTCGCTTTCACAAATTGTTGAATGTTTTAGAGAGAAAAATGTGTGCCAGAATCAATCAGTAGTGAAAGTTTCTTGAGAGTTACTATCTAAACCAAAAACATAATGCACAATGACAGTAATGAATGAGCTATCTAAAGAGTTTAATTCACTGATGAAAGAGTCAGTCTCGAGTGGTTTTGGTGTCCATGATTTACTGCCTCTGATCTGTTAAACAGTTACCCAACTACAAGTTTCCCATGTAAACATCTTATGGCTTTGAAATTGGGGATTAAAGGAGCACCAGAAGAGCCTTCTTCAAATGATTACTTCTTAGAGTAGCAGAGTAATTCCATGACAGTGACATTTTTGGACAATCTTTTTGTGTCATAGAGACAATGTGTGAACAAGACAAGAAACATTTTGCTATCATTGTGATTCTCCACCCTTATAACCTCTAGAATTATTTATTTCTGCAATGTAGTGTGTTTGTTAGAGGTATTTGTTTATTTTATTTGAATTAACGTATTTGTATTTTACGGTCGTTGTTTTTTTTTTGTTGTTGCATAATTTCAGTTCCAAATTCTTTCCATTATTGCCATCTGGGTTAAACAGATTAATTTGTTATGGTTTTGTCTGGAAATGATTCAAATGATATGTTGAATTCCAAAGTGTGGAACAACCTTCTATTTCTTATGAAAGGTTCTTTGTACTCATCACATGAACCACTGGAACCACATAATTTGTACTTATGATAATTGAATCAAAATGATTTTCCATTTTTATTGTCATCACCAGTCATGAAGCAAATTTTTATGGTAAAAATGTTCTAAAACCATTGACTCTCCCAATTGTTTTCCAGTGACAAGGATGTCATTGTTGGATTTTTTTTTCTATTCATCAGATTAGTTAATTAACACTGGAACAATAAATAAGAGCCATGACTAAAGTGGTTGTTTTTCCCATCCGTTTTTTTTTTTGCTGTATTCGAATTGTTTGAACTGAATCGAGTATTAATCAATATGGTTAAATAAGTTTATTTTTGCATTGATTTTCTAGCCACTCATAGGCCAGCTGTTTGCTCATGGATCCGATTGTTTTGTTTGTTGGTACATTGACGCAAATTAAAAACTTGAAATTTGTATTTCAATAATAGTCACTTTTCAGATATATTTTTATTTCTTTTGTTTCTTTTATTATAATCACATTAGTTTAGTTCATGAATGATACACATGATCACAATATTGACCTAAAATTGCCAGAATTGAATTTGGGTCAGTAATGAACATCAATGTTAAAATGAAATATTATGTGACACGTTTCTAGTGCATGTGAAGACTTAAGCCAGAGCCCAGCCCAAATGAGTTATTGGTTTATGTGAACTCTTGACATTTGAATGTGCTGATCTTTGCCTTAAGGTTGCACTTTGATTTACAACGGATTGATGACGTCTCGGCTCCAATAGATTGCAGCTCTCTGATGTAATGTCTTGTACTGTTTGTGATTCTGGTGAATCAAACCAATAGACACGGCATGCTTTGACGTACTGATACACCATGTTGACAACATTTCTTTTGCTTCGGATCACTGAAAGGAATCTATGCGGAAAGAACAGAGACCCAGAACCAGTTATTGTATTGTTTCTTTGTCATAAACGTCTTTTTTTGTAGTACATCCAGTATATATGATCATCCCATTTGTTTCAAATCTTTCTTTACATTGTTTCAAATTCAGTTAATGTTTCGGATTTGTATAAAATCGTAAATCCCTTTGTCTGTTTGTTGGTTGCAACACCATAACACCAGCACAGACTAGTATTTCCATAGAGCAAGAGTTGCTCCCTGCTGCCCTTTTGAACTACATTTGCCCTCTTTGCTTCAGAGAGAAGTACCAGCCACAACATAAAGCTCAATAACTCAGAAACACACTCCATCAATAACAGCTTTGGCACAGCCCAACAGAATTCACTTAGACTGCACTAACGTCACATTACATTCCAGCTCCGCTCTCCTGTCACTTACCGCTCCAGCGTTGATTAAGATTTATTCTTATGCATTCTGGTTATCTGCCCAGGGTGTATGACATATTGCTATGCGGTTTATTGGGGGCTGGGATCTGTGAAGGATTTCAGCAAATTCTTCTCTTTGTGATTGAGGGCTGGGAGTGGCAATCTGTGCCAAGACGCTCAACGCAAGCACGGTTCTGGAGGTACAATCTGATATGGCATATCCGACTGCTTCTTTCAATGTGTAGGATCTGTAATACCAGAACAACACACTGCAAAACAAATCATATTATCAATGTATAATATGTATTTAATAAGTATTTTGTCTCAGTATTTGTATGTGAGTATATGATAGTGTATGTCTCAATTTTTGTCCAAAAGTGTCAAGTGTAAATATCTAAAAAGATACATTTAGCGGAGAAGAAACATTGCTTAAGACCTGTTTTCAGAAACATCTAATACAAAGCTATATTTTGTCTTACTACACTGGAAGATTTTGATTTACTTGTTTTATGTGTAAGCAAGTAAAGACAGGCAGTACAGATAGACAAAACAAACATAGTCAAAATGCAGTATATGAAAACCTAATGTAAAAAGCAGTGCTACTTCTCAAGTAAATTTATCATTTTTGGAGCATTTTTAGATATTTTTACTGTTTTTTTTATATTTTTACCGTTTTTTGTTTTTTTTTGCAGTCCAGAGCTATTTTTTATCCATGGGATGACGCTTGAGACATTTAGTGGGGTTATTTGTTTATAGTTTATTAATTCTTGAGAGAGAGAGAAAAAAAATAAAAAAATACACTTTTTTTAATGATTAGAAAAATAATCTGGGGATTATTCTGATATGGTATTTGTTAAAAATACCATATCATATGGTAAATTGTTAAAAATGGGAATATGTTTCACTGTGAAAAAAAAGAAAAAGAAAAATAAGATCATGATTTTAGCTTTAAAAATCCTACACTTAAAAAAATGCTGTATGATTTACTTTCATTTCACTTAAAAATTGGTAGTACATTTTACAAATAATTGCAAAGAAATGGCAAGTAACACATTTAATTAAATGTGAAATTTTGAAGTAGAAAGACTGAAAAATTATTTTCTTGTAAAATATGTTGCAATAATCTTTTAAAGAACTTTTTTTTACAGTGTACTGTAAAAATGTTAATTGGTTAATGGTAAGTTCCCTTACTCTGTTGAACTGTAATATAGATCTAACGGGACATTTCATGGAATTTTCAGTAAATACAGAGGTTAAATACCACTAAATACAGTTTTCTGAAACGGAAAAAGAAAAGGACATCTTATAATATATAGTAAAAAACAGTGTTGAGGGTAACGCGTTACAAGTAACGCGTGTTACGTAATCAGATTACTTTTTTCAAGTAACTTGTAAAGTAACGCATTACTTTTTAATTTACAAGAGAATATCTGAGTTACTTTTTCAAATAAGTAACGCAAGTTACTTTTTTCCCCCCAATTTATTGATTGACAGCTCTCCTGTCCCCATGTTGAGAGAAATCACAAGATGTTACTGTAGTTTTAAAATAAATATGAATATGCATTAATTCATCTCCCTCACAAAAAAAAAAACAGATTTGGTATTCCTCAAAATGAATGAAAATAATGCAACTCAGAATATGACGCAAACCTGGAATAATTAAATGTTAAACAACACAAATATCCTTTATGTATTTAATCCCATTCTATTAACCAATGTCTTTGCTTCTGACCTTCGATGATCCAGTTCAACCGTACTAATAAGCACAAATGACTCTAGACAAACATTTGTGTCTTTTTTTATTGCTGAAGTGTGTTGAAATTTCTTCTTCTGCATTCTACTGTACGGACGTAAAATTTACTTTCCCTTCAGCCTGAGGCTTATTCATTTCACTTTTGGTATGAAAAGGCTTTTATATTTGCCAAAAATATAACTTATTTATTTTAAAAACGAACAAGCAAGCCCTCTCCAGATTTAAAAGGTAACACAATGTGTTCCATTCCATAAAAATTAACTAAGTAATGTAATTAGTTACTTTTTTTAATGGAGTAATGCAATATTGGGTTACACTTTACTTGAAGGGGTGTGCATAAGACTGACATTGACACCTTCATAATCATGGCATGACACCTACATAATTATGACATGACACATATCATGAATATGAAGGTTTTTTATGCATGTTTATGACAACTGTCATTAAGTGTCATTCGCTCAGTTATGTCATTTTTAATGCAAATATGACATTATTTGACCTAACCCTACCCCTACCCTTACCCCTAACCATAGCCCATAACAAAGACATCTCAAACAATGTCATCTTTGGCACAAATGACTCTAGACAAACATTTGTGTCTTTTTTTATTGCTGAAGTGTGTTGAAATTTCTTCTTCTGCATTCTACTGTACGGACGTAAAATTTACTTTCCCTTCAGCCTGAGGCTTATTCATTTCACTTTTGGTATGAAAAGGCTTTTAAATTTGCCAAAATATAACTTATTTATTTTAAAAACGAACAAGCAAGCCCTCT